AGGAGCCGATAAGACATGTCTACAGACAGACAGACAGACAGACAGACAGCCGGCCGTCCTCTCTCGCCTGCATGGCGGCCGCCGTGCCCCTGCTGCCTCCCCCCTGCGGCCTGCTGCTCCACTCGACCAGGGGGTCGTGCAGGAAGGTCTCCGCGCACGTCATCAGAGTCTCGCGGTGCTGGCGGAGGACCTGAGGGGGGCGGGAGGGGGGGAGAGGGGTGGGGGGTGAGGGGGGGCGGGGGGCGAGGGGGTTGGGGGCGGGGTATTGGGTTCGGGGGGGAGGGTTCGGGGGGTAGGGGAGGTAAGACGAGCCACTGGAAGGCGAATGAAGCAAAGATAGCCGGACAGTCAAACGTGTGGAGGGGCTTTGGCGGGGGCTGGGAGGCGCCGCACGCGTGCACGCCCTCACGAGTCAAGGCTCCGGCACGCGAGATTGCGCACTGAGCCTGAAGCACACAACAAGACTCCTCTCCATCCCCGGCCTGTTCCGGCTCTTGGGGTGTGGGTTCAACAATACAGAGGAAACCTCGTCACACACACCGCGGGCCCCTTCTTCCCCCAAAACCCGCATCCGAAAACCCGTATCTAGGATCCCCCCACCTTCAACCCTTCCCCACCCTACCCACCTGCAAAGTGGTTTCGCAACACCGGCGGTACGTGCCCTCCACTCCGCTGATGCCGAACCCGTCCACCACATTTTGGGTCAGACGGAAGGGCACCATCTCGGGAACCTGCGGCAGCGGCGGCGGCGACATTGCGGCGAGAGAGCACTGTAGTGTAGTGTAGTGTAGTGTAGTGTAGTGCGCAACGGGGGGAGATAAGAGACCTAGAGAAGCGGCACTACTGTAGTGTGACTGTAGAGTGCGCACAGGGGGACATAGCGGTAGAGATAGAGATGGATAGAGACGCGTGCACCACTGCAGGGGGACATAGCGGTAGAGATAGAGATGGATAGAGACGCGTGCACCACTGCAGGGGGAGCTGCAAAGTAGCAGCAAGCAGAATGATGATTTAAAGAGCAGGGGAAGAGCCTGAAGCCGGCCAAAAAGCCGATATATATACGATCGGACAAACCCCTAACCCCCCCCCCACACACACACACGCACAGTCCCCTCCCGCCCCATCCCGGACTTCTCACCTCCAACGTAAGGCCCTTATCGAATAGGCATCCGAAATCCACCTGCACCGTGTCACCACACGCGCCGTCCAGCAGGATGTTCTCCCCGTGTCGGTCTCCCAGCCCCAGCATGTGCCCCACCATACACCACACGGCGTTTGTGCTGCGCGGTTTGTGTGACGCGCGGGGGGTTGGAGGGGGGAGAGTTTT